TGCATGTATTGTTTGTCATAGATGATACAAATATTGCTTGTTTTTTCAAATACATATGAATCAATGAAGATTTATACCCAATTTCAGTATTATACCAATCATTATGTGATGAATTACCAACACCATATACAAATAACTTGTATTTACCTACCATACATGAAACCGGAAATAATAAAACATCGCTTATTAATTGTTGTACAATTTCTTTTTGATTCCACCCAAGAATGACAGAACCAGAATAACGGATTTGATTATCAAATACATGCTTGTATATAGTAGAAATTGCATTAGTCAGATTAGAAGATATGGTATGATAACCTCCTGATTCACAACAATATTCAGGAAAAAAATTAGCTTCATTTCCTCTTTGAATAGTAAGATAAAAAAACTGATTATTAAGGTTGACTTTTATTTTAAAGCCAAGTCGAATAAAAAAATAAAACGGATCATCAATGTTTGTATAAAGTTCCCACCAATAACATAAGTAGGGTCCGTAATGGAGCTCTTCAACAAGAAAGCCTTTTTTTAGTATAGAAATAGCAACCTGACGTGGTCGCTTGAACATTTTGGCATGAAATTGGAGTAACCAGTATGAGATGCAAATATGTTTTAACAAGTATAATTAAACTTATCCCCGAATTTACTAACTAATTTCTGCAGATCACATGCGGATCATCACTTAATAATTCAGGAGGTCCCATCACTAGTCCCATCACTAACAGCAACCTTTTTTCTAAACGATCGGCAACTTGTGCAATACTTGATTGATCCATTTGACATCGTAAATTAATAAATAGCAGTAGAATGAAAAGAAAAGGTTATTAAAATTGGTAATTAAAAAACATAATAATAATCGTCATCATTGTTACTATGACAATTAAAGCAACATTTTAAATTTAAGCTCAGATACGTACCTTTTTTTTAGGGGGATACTAGGTTCATCATGGCACGAAAGTGACATCAGTTTAGCAAACTTATTTTATGCGTGTCAGGATATAGTCAGTGCATCAGGAAATTTTAAATAGGGTGGATATCGATTACCAGCTGCAGAGGCGATTGCCATCGATTAGGAAAATCGACAATAATCGATAT